TGACTCATGCATTCTCTCTTCAATCATTTCTTCATTCACTCATTCGTTCGTTCGCTCATTAGTTCGTTCATTCATTCGTTTGTTTGTTCACCCATTCTTTACATAAAAATTGATGAAGCAAAATAGCGATTTTCATTTTTTTAATGCCCCCCAACCGACAAAAAAAAATCCTAAATTACATTATAAAGTTGTTCATTCTTTATTTATTCAATCGTTCATCTGTTTTTTTCATTCTTTTATTTACCCGTTCGTTCATGCGATCGTTCACACTTTGTTCACTCACACACCATGCCATCATCATCTTTATCATCGTCGTCGCCATTGTAGGTTCACTCATTCGATGGTACATATGATGATGCAAAGCAATTCATGGAGTTCGGTTTCTACATCGGAATCAATGGATGGTTGGTTGGTTGGTTGGTTGGATGGTTGGTTGGTTGGTTGGTTAATCGTTTGGATGGTTTTTTGGTTGAGTGGGGGAGTGAATCAATCAATCATTTAACTAATTAATATTTTCACCAATCAATAAGTCAATCGGTCAGGTCAGTCGATCGATCAAACAGTTAAATAATCAATTAGTCAATTAATCAATGAATTAGTTAATTAACCACCAATCAATCGTTCAATCAACCAGCAATCATTCAATCGTCCAATCAATCACTCAATCACTCGGTCAATCAATGAATCAACCATCGATCAATTGTTCAATCAGCTCATTGAAGACTGCTGACAACTTGGATGTCGTCAAACGAATTCCATCTGATAGACTGCTCATAGAGACCGGTAACAACAACAACAACAACAATAATAATAATTGTTATTTTTATTATTATTAATATTATTACCACGCCACCGTCGTCATCATCGACGCCACAAGACTCGCCGTGGTGTGAAGTGAAGCCGACGCACGCCAGCTACAAGCACGTCAACAAGTCACGTGATGCGGTGGCCAGCAGGAAGAAAGAGAAGTTCGAGATGGGGCTGATGGTTAAGGGTAGGAATGAGCCCGCTAACATTGGGTGAGTTGAATGGTTGGTCGGTTGATTGGTTAGTTGATTGATTGGTTGATGTCTGATGCGAGTGACCTGGTTTGATTGCAAAGAAATCCTTGTCTATTGTACGCTAAAGTATATATATTTTGCGATTTAGATTTGATTACGAAGTGGAACGTTTGGGTGGTTTAACGCAAATATTTTTATATTTATGCCTATGGAGATGTTTGTCTTCTTTGGAAAAAGATTTGAGTTTGAAATTTAAATTTTATGCTTCCGTAGAATACTTTTTTTAACTTTCCAAACGTGAATATAATGTTGGCAGGCAGGTGTTTGAGGTGTTGTCTTCAGTGAGGGGCGAGGAAGACGTTGAAGGCTTTGCCAGACAAATCTACGATAATACCCTGGCTCTATTCCGTCTCTGACGAACATTTGTTATTATTTTTATATTGTTAATACTATTTATTATTGTTGTTGAAAATTTTTTTGCAAAAATTATTAAACAGGTCTGTCAGGTGGGTAGTAATTTAAAAACAGTTGAAAAATATTCTACCTCGATAATTATTTGTTTGTTGATGTTGAAACGTGAAAAGAGCAAAGTTAAAGAATCTCGAGTAGAAAATAGCCAAACTTTTTCTTTGGACCGTTGAATAGAAGAATTTTTCTAGAGATTTCCTTACAAATCTCGCACATCGTTTTTGGCATTCATTTATCCATCCGGTTTTTTGATCCATCCATTCATCCATCCATTTTATTCATCCGACCATTTATCCATTCATTTGTCAAACCAGTCATCCGTCTATCGGTATTAAAATGTATTTCACCGAATGCGAATAATATCACCGTGTCATTTTCAAGAAGCCAATCAGTTTATCGGCTAAGTCACGTTTGATTATTATTAAATTTGTCGTTTAATTAAATTTTCATATAAATCTTTCATTAGTTCCTTCGTTCATTCTTTTATATTTTTGTAATACTTTGATGTTCGTAACTACCAACACCAATGTTAGAACTTCAAAGACATTTCTAGACTTTTCCAACACCAGTGCTGTATCTTCCAACAATCGTCAAGTGTTCGTTATTCCGTAGGTTTAATATTTCCGATGGATCAATTACCATTCGAACTAATCCAGATCCAGGCGTCTATTCCGCAAATTACAAATTGAATTTGTTCATACTAATCAGAATAATTAATTGTTCTTCTAAAATGTATGTAAGTAGCAGTCCTCGTGCAGAGAATGTTTGCCTTTTTTTTCTATTTCGATTTTATCAGCTGCGCCATTGAAAGCTTCAAAATGACGTTTCTATAAAAGCATTACACCAAATTATTAACTCGACTTTTATGCGAAGAATAAACCATGAGCGTCGTACAAACCGTGTTGTTTTAATTTGCTTGTAAATCGGACGGACGATAGAATGTTGCAGCAGTAAATGAAAATGAACATTAAAATTATTTTTGTTCATATTCCTACAGAAGCAAGGCTATAAAACACAAACCATTACTGTGCGAGTAAAAATGTCTGTTACTTGCATGGTTTCTTAGCAAATATGATTAATGATTTTTACAGCTGTGACATTTTTAATTATTATTTCAAAAAGAATTCAGAATATGACACACAGAAGCTGTTACAGCATGCAAGGCAATAAGAAAATTAAATTAAATTTCATCATAATAATTCTAATTAAATAGCACGTTAACACGTGGTTCTACTAAACTTTTGCACGTGGTTTCAACTTGAGCACGTTATTTTTCATTAATACTTCTTGATAAATTACCAGGTTGACGAATATATTCCTTCTTTGATCATTCATCAAGTTCATCAGGTGATTGTCTCTCGACTTCGGGTGTTGTAACATTCGAACTGTACATTCTGCCGATTGCTCCTGAACTGCTTTATTAATCAATTCAACGATTGATTTTTTGGCTGACATTTTGTTTGACATTTTAAATAAATACTTTTAAAATAAGTTAATTTAAACTCAGTTGAAATTAGAACACTACCCGTTTCATTTGTCACTCTCAAACAATAATTTTAAAATATCAATATAGTCTCGAATTCGGTTAAAATTTGAACATAATGAATCAAACCGATGAAACTTGATTCGTTTATATTAGAATTAAAACAAAGAATAAATGTTATGGGTTCATTAATAATTTATGATTCTTTGTTATAATAATAACTCTAAATGTTTTGTTAAATTTCCTTGCAGGCTTCAGAGGTGGTCTCTGCACTGATCGTAAACATATCAATATTTGTTTCGATGCACTTCAAATGACTTTTTATAATTCTAACAAAATTTTTTTACAATAAAGAATCTGTTAAAGTTTTCTCCCTTTTTTTCATTTTTGGAATTTGAAACCATAAAATTTGACAACAAACTGCCTAATAAATTAATATTCATTTATTTATAGTTGTTAAGCGATAACCATTTTGAATATTACAATTTGTGAAGAATGTATAAATAAATAAATTAATAACCAAGCATCGGACAATGCTTTTTGTCCAACAGTTACAGTCCTAACAACGGACATGTGATCATCTAAGCAGACAGATATCTTCTGCCCTTTAACAAGCGAGAAACTAAAAGCCGGTGTGAATCGTTCAGGTGTTGTTTGTTGTACTTGCTCGCTTGCAACGATGTTCATTAAGAATTATAAGATGAGTTTGATGAAGAAGTTTATCTCAAACCATTTTTAGTATGGAAATTTTGAATCTTGGAATGAATTAATAAAAAAAATATAACAACAAAGATTCACAGTTAAGTAAAGTAGAACAGAGTTAAGTGGTTATCGTCAAAGCTAAACTTGAAATATATCATGCTCTGTCAAGCGCTTAACTTTTCAATCTTTCTCTCTTTTTTTATCTATCTATCCATCCAATACATTCATCTATCTATCCATCCATCAATCCATCCATCCATCCATTCGTCCGTCCGTCCGTCCATCCATCCATCCATCCATCCATCCATCCATCCATCCATCCATCCATTCATCCATCCATCCATCCATCCATCCATCTATCCATCCATTCATCCATCCATCCATTCATCCATCCATCCATTCATCCATCCATCCATCCATCCATCCATCCATTCATCCATTCATCCATCTATCTCTCATAAATCTTTCGTTCGTTTGAAGTTTTAGTTGAGTTTAAAATTTTAAAATTCCATTTTGTTATTTTGTTCAATTTTTTTTCAAAAAATTCATTATTCACTATCACCGGCCAGACCAAAAATTTGATTTTTTGTTAGTTCATCACGCGATTTTTACTAATATTTTTTTATTGAACCAATGATTTGCACTAGTTCGAAGTAAATTTTGTTGCTTTTGGCTGTTAGCTTCAAATATCCTTATCATCCATCAGCCCATTCAGCAAATATATCTAATTCGTCAGATAAATGAATTCATGAAACCAGGACTCATCCTCAAATCTGCAGCCATCATCAAATACATCATCATACTCATCACCGACTTCAACTTAAAAACCAACTGGCTATCTGGGAAAATGCTCATTATTTACATTACTCATTGAAATCTAATTTGCCAGTGCTTCTTTCTGAAGCGTTCTGGTTTATGTTGCATGCAGCGTATCAATTAAGTTAGCTTTTATTGGTACATCTTCCTTTCAGAGTCTTTCAGAATGTTCAAAAATAATATAATTTAATTACTTGTTGAGAATGAAAACATATAATAATTCTAAAAATTAATTTATTAGTTAATTAATTAATATGTTAAAAGTAGAAGCAGTTCAATCAGAGTGTCGGAGATTTTATCTGAAGTTGGATTTGGAATTTCTCGACACCTGAGACCAATAAATGTTTTGGTATAAGCTGTGGTTTAGTACCATGCACTGGACATTTTGCATCTGACGAAATTCAGTGTTAAGATTTTTTTTAGTTCTGTACATGAAATAGAACGTTAACAAATCAAATAAAAAATTACCAACTCGACTATCAAACAACAATCAAATTTTCATTTCAGTAACTTCCGATTCAGCAAACCGATTGCCTAATATGCAAAAAGTAAGATTTTTATGATAACTTTGAATCATTCGCCACCACTGACTGATTCATTAACATTCAAGCAAAGAATATGAAGATGATGACATTGACGGATGTTTGACGGTAAAATTTACGAATAAGCCCTGATGAAGACATAGTTAGCCTACGTAGTAGCAAAATAACATAGCGTTTGTTCAAATACTTTGCAATCCTTGCAATCCTCGTGTACTGGATTGAAAAGACGCACTGACAAAAAAATTGAAAATTAAACAATGTACAATTGCTAAACTCGCCAAAATTTTACAACAATGCATCGAAAAACTGAGTTCACTCGTGGATTCTGTAAATTTATTTGAAAAGCAATTTTTCTGAGCAAAATTTTTTGCCAAATAATTTGTGTTGTTCATGCTTTCGTGATATTGCTAAAAAATAAGTGTGTTCTCTGTAAAAATAAAGTGAACAAAGTAGAATAAACTAAAAATAAATAGTTAAAATAAAACAAAGTTAATAGAATAAAATAAAGTAATAATAAAATTTATTAAAGTGAATACAATAAATTAAATTGATAATAAATGTAAAAATTGAAAAAAGTTTTTATGAAAAAGTTCCACTGAATTCCTTGCACTCAGCTTCATTCAGGTGAAAAAAATAAATTTATTTTACTGGGATAAATTTCATGTATATATGCACCGACAAAATTTGAATTCTCCCAAATTATTGAATGATTTTTGTTAGATAATTGAAAATGTTGAAAATAAGTTATGTGTTGACAGTGGTGTTGGTAGTTTTGCTAGCAAATCTGTTTGAAAGATTGAGTGAGACATATTATTTTATTAGCGTTTCAGCTATTTCTAACATTACTCATTTTTTTGATTAAAAGAAATATTCGTTAAAACCACAAAATTACAATTTAGATGGGTTCATTTTCGTAAAAATTTTAATTAATTTTGTGAAAACGCCAATGTCATTAACCGTTATTCATGGCGACGTGATGGCCGAGTGGTTAAGGTCGCCTGGTTTTGTTTCGCGGAAAGTGCAGTGACAAGGTTCGATTCGAGTATGACACAGTATGCCCGCTTATCACATGCTTTGTGTGTGGTGCACAGCTTAGCACGTATTCATTTTCGATGATTGTTGATTGCTCTGAACCTAGGAAGAGTGTGATAGACCTTTAACCATTTTTAACCTAAAAAACATTCAGATTGCCAAGAAATGTTGTCGAACATAGCTCTGGGAACCTTCACGTTTAACAGTTCTTCCTATTACATTAATTCATTGAATGAGTTCACATCGTTCTTGACTGTTGATGGCAACAATGGTTCGAGCGATTACATGAAACTTTGCTCTGTGACGTGGCCCGGGTTCGAACCCAACTGGATCGGAGTTGATCTGGCTCATATTTATTTCATATTCTACACAATTTTATTTGCTGGACCAAGTGAAAACTATAATTTTATTTTGTCAATTTTTGGTTTTATTTTTTGTTTGTACCTGCAAGCAAGCTAGATGTAATAAAACCTAACGAAAAATTATTTACTTCAAGAATTCAATCAAAATTTTTTGATTATTTTGAAGTAATTCTGCAAATAAACTATTTCAATATATTAAAATAACGAAATTCAGACAACATTAACGTAGCAACAAAGAACGATTTGAGTTACTTTATAGTAGGAGTGACAAACAGGTCCCTGGAGGTTTACCCGCCAGTGAGAGGCACATACGAGCTCTGCGCTCAATATCCAGATGTAGTTGCTTTGAAACAGGTAGTTCGATTGAATTGTTCCTCTGCAACACCTCCAGCCAGATACGTCATACTGCAACAACCAGACAACTCTTCTGGATATATGTCCGTCTGTGAATGGGAAATTTACGGAAAGCCTTTTAAAGGTTAAATTAGCAAATTTAAATTTGTGTAAATTAAAAAAAAAATTATTTTTCATTTAAATACTTCGCACAGAATATCGAACAAATTTGCTGTTAAAAAAGCCAGCTAACAGTAGTTCGGCTTACGAAGATAACGTGTGTAAAAAGTACGTAGCCGATTGGATTGTGGATGGCTATCACAACACTTTACCGCTTTATTGCCATTGTGGTCAAACCAAGGATCCTGCTGGCGGACCGAACTGGTTCATGGTTGATATGAGATCAACCTATTGTATTGATTACGTGGTTTTAACCGCTAGGCTCATTACAAGTATGAGTTGATGAAGATTATTTAAATAAGTTTTATGTTTATCTATTCCAACTATGTAGGTCAGATGAATGCATAACGGTCAATAGATTTTTTCTCCTTTACAGTCAGTAAAACTTTTTGTGTCCTAACAGAACTTCAAGTTTGTCTTAATATGCGTCCAAATCTTTCAATATCAATCACGAAAAAAAACCTTTAAAAGTTGTTTTTTGCTAAAACTCACATTTCTAAAGTCTGCTTTTATCGAATCTCATTCCCATATTTGCATCAAATTCGCACACTACGGCAAATGTACGTAGGCGCAGACAGGGCATCATCCACACGACAGTCTTTAGTTTCGGACAGACAAAATTCAAACCAGATTAAAAGGCCATAACAACGCAAATGATGTAAAATAAATTACACATCGTTGTATATAATTTGTCACAAATAACATGGCCTAATATCAAACACTACGTCATAACTCAAAGATAAGGATAGCTCTGTTCTCATTAAGATCATGCATCGAATGGACAACTTCATAATTGGACTGACCAATATGGACAGCGTTAGATCAGCTCCAGTCAGAGACAACTACCCAATGTGTGCAACTTGGCCTGGTTCGGTTAAACTCGGAGTCAAAGTGGAGTTGAAATGCAATGCCAACCTCCCGAAGTTCAGGTACCTAATAGCGCAGGCTGGCGCAAACTCGTTAGATGGAAGTTTCACTATTTGCGAGCTAGAGGCCTATGAACCAGTTAATAAAGGTAATCATTTAACTCCAACATATTTTTTTACAAATTTTTATATTATTATACGAGTAGTGTTGAAATTACTTTATCTCGACACCCATAAACAGATTATTTAAAAATTTTTTCGAAATCTAATAGAAAAATAAAAATTAATTATGTGGCTTAACAAGATGAAAACAATTTTATCAAATTAGATTCTCTAATTTGGAAAAGACAAGCCGGCACCTACTTGACTGGATATAAAATGACGTCCTTGAAGAGCAGAAGTGTCATGCAGTGCGTGAATCGTTGTCGTCACTCGGGTCAGTGTGACTCCATCAACTTCAATGTGGGTTCCTTGACCTGTCAACTCAACAAACACGCAAACGGGTACTCTCCTAAAAAACTGACCAACAACGTAGATTGGTCATTTTATACAGCTTACTACTATTGACGATATTTGAACCGAAAATGAGAAACGCTGGTTGAATAACAGAACATGTTGAGGTTCAACAATTTTCACTTTCTAATTAGTTTTCAAATTGGGAAACTTTATAAAACATATTCTTTTTTAAAGTAGTTTTGAATTGCTTTTAACGCAGAAATAATTAATTGCTTTACTTTACCAATATTGAATTTTATAAACAAAACCTATTTTTGATGACAAAAATCTTTCATTATTAGCTCATCTGTATATGTTGTATTTTAATACAATTTTCAGCTTTAATTTGTTTTGAAATTTTATTAAACATTTTAGCTAAAAGATTTTTCCAAGCAATGTAATATATTATAATATAATAATGAGACTTCTGTGAATCTTAGCAGGAAATATTGCCAGCGATAAATATTCTAATAAAATCTAAATAAGCAAAATGAAAACTTGAGAACAACAAAAACAAAGAATATTTTAAAAACAAAACATAAATTTCGAATTTAAAATTTGTAATTTCATAAAGAAATATACATTATTATCAAAACGCTTATTAAGATACTATATATATAAAATACAAATCTCTCCGAACGACTTCTAACAGAGAAGCAACAAAAAAAAAAAAATCGAAGAAATTTATAATGCTCGTGACGAAATGTGGGCACGTTACTTACATCAAAAAAATATGGTGATGTAGGCTTATGTATGTAATTAATTCTATTTCTCACCTAAATTTTTTTTTACAAATGACACATGACAAGCCGATCAATTATGAATATGTATATTTTTTCCAACAAGGGTTGGTTGGTACATTTGATTCAGCTGTTGTGGTGAGCAGCTTCTAATGCAATGAGATCTCAGCCCACCACATTCAATATGTGTGTTGCGCGTGTCTGTTGCATATTAACGTATGGCGAGAGTGCCGTTGGTAAAGCTTAGGGTTAATTAAGCGAATTAATTAGAATTATTGCACATCATTATTTTCATTAAGTGCTCTACATATTTTTTAATTTTTATAAATTAACATAAAATAAGAAATTAATATCGTAGATAGATTAAAAAGTAAACACCATTCATTACGTGACATATCCTGAATATATCATATATTGATCAGTGTGTCATGTGTCATTTGTAAAGAACTTAGTTAAGAAATGGGATTAATTACTTTTCGTGTCAAACATGAGCTGTTATGAACTTTTTCTGTTATATTTTCATTGAGAATGACAAAATGGTTTCATAAAAATGATTGCGTGAGTTAAACAATGGTAGATGCAAACATTTGTTGTACAAGGAAATAACAAAAATGTCGTGTTTCTTCTACGTGAATTTTATAATCCTATGTTTGAATATATTTTCATTATTCTTCTTAAAACTTTTAATTTTATCATTGATTGTTTTATCAAATATTTTTCAAAATAAATTAAAAACAGGTTAGTAAATATACGGTAACGAAACAAACTACAACATTACTGTGAAATGCTAAATTGTTTTAACATTGTAAAGAAGTAATTCAGTTGTTTTTTAAACTAAATGAAAGCACGTAAAAATTTGTCAATCTCTCATGGAAAATCATTAAGCTTCAACTTTTTCACTAACTGAAACGAAATGAATTTTACAACACGACTGACCAACAACCATCGGTCAGTCCGTCATATCAAACTCACAGAGAACACAGAGTGCAGCTGTGCATGGCTGGTCATCCCAGCCAAAGTAGCCGTAGAGTATACTCTGCACGCAGTAGTCCAGTCCAATGTCAGCAGAGTTTGGCTCGCCGCTGTGCCAGACTGACGAGCTTTGCATGGTTTTGTACTTGCCTGGTTTTTTGTAAGGAATGGATTTAGTAAATTCAGTTAGGTAGATTGTTTTAACGTGATGGAGTAGCTGTAAGGCGACGGTCTTCCGTTTTTTAGTGACTGGATTCGAAGGCACGCTCTCGATGTTTTATTTTTGCAAGATTTTGCTATATGCTCTGTAAAAAATAACCACAAACGCCCATGATGCAGCATTTTTCCTGTTTCACTCTGTTTTTCCAATTAATTACATTTTTGAGAGTATACTTTATAAAAGTATGCATTTGCACAGTGATTCTTATATTTATACCAAATATTTGGTGTTATTATACATTTTCAAAATCAGTTGGCTTCGAAAACATGTTTTTTTAATAATAAAAAAATGAAAAAAAACCCGGGTAGGAAAACCAGAGAAAAGGCGTCCTTGTACCGTTCATGTACGTTCGAATGCCACTCGTGTAGAACGCAAACCAGTCGCTGTAATCAGATCCTGGGCACCACTGGTAGTCTTTAAAAATATGCCACAACTCATTATCACATACAAACAATATATAAAAATGGCCGAAAATAAATTTTTTTATTTATAATCTAACAAGACATACAATTGGAGTTAATCAATAATTTAAAAAAATAAAATTAGACCAACTTTTAGTGACGAAATCGACATATTGCAGCGAAACTTCGTTCTCAACATCATCGTCGACTGTGATTGGATGAGAAGATGAAATGTTGTTGCAGAGCATCCTCCCATCGTACCAGCTCAAAATCTTGTCCGGCATTTTGTAGCACTTGTGGTACTCTAGAATGTAATCAAACGTGACTGGACAGTCTGTAGAGTTACAATTGAGGAAGTTCATCGCCAATAAACTTCATTTTGAAATATTTTAAGCAAGCGAAAAGTTGCTAAGAGAAATTGTCCTGTAGTTGCGACATCATACATCCATAACTATACTTGAATTAGAACAATGGCGGCCAATCTCGACAACTTTGATGGGAAACAAAATTTTGAAAATGTTTGAATTTTTATGGGGGAGGGGGCCAAAATGTTTACGGGAGGGAACATAAAACGGTGCTTTTCCTGCACAAACAGTGATTTTTTCTGACTTTCAGTACAAACACTGCTCACTGCTGTTGCGGTTACGCTGTTGTAAGAGAACACCAAGCCAGGAAGAGCTGTGCGCAGGATTGAAGAGAAGATAAGAATACTATTCGTTTGGATAGGCTGGACAGGTGTTTCGTTAATACTGGGAACTCGTCAGCATCCCGAATACTTGTCAAAATTGTATCGCAGTTTCTCTTTGTACGACCCAACAAATCACTTCGTTAGCTCGTGTTGTTTCCGTTTCTTATTGAGGATTGTTAGTTTTAATCGTTAACATTTGCAATCCGACACTGCCATTGATTAAGAATTTATTCACTTATTATGAAGTAACCGCCGTTGCAACTAGAATGAAAAATGATTGGCTGTTAAACGCTATTAGAAAATATCACAGCTTTAATTTTAAAACCCAAAATCAAATATTTTTGTCCAAGGCACCGCACTTAATAACAATTTTTTTTAAATTTATACTCAAAGCAATATTTATACAAATATTTCTAAAATGTAAAAATTATTTGAGACAAACCATGTTGCAGAGCAAATCCTCTGCAACCGCCGGCAACCGTGGTAGAAATCAGACTGAATCGAATCTTTGCGATCGGAAAACACGAGCATGAGTTGTTAGACGCTACGTAGTTCACTCCTCTTAGTTTATTGTTGTTTTTAACCTTTAAGATTTAAAAAAACGTATTTTAAAGACAGTTTCATATTCAAATGTTAGTTTAATGCTGTATTATAAAAGCTTAAAATATGTTTAACTGTGTAAGTGGTTAATTTAGGTATTTTGGTGTAAATTTATATTCCCCTAAATACATTTCTTTCATTCAACTAATTTCGTCCAGACAGCGGTTGATGCAAATTTAAAAAACCGATAATCGGAATAACCTGAGATGAATTCAAACAGCGTTTCACCCAGTAAAAAAAACATCTTTGTAACAAAATATTTTTATAAAAATTTAATTATTTTAGTTATATAATTATTTACAAATAATTATTTTTTATTTAAAGTTTCAATAACCATAGAATCAAGCGTTATAAATAAAAAAAGTTAGCTGTACAATGTACAGCTAAGTACAATGTACAATGTACAGCGTACAGTACATTCTTACCAAACACTTTGCAATACATTCTTTCAAACTCCTGACTTTAACTTTGGTAGTGACGAGCATCTGATCATCGAAACAAGCAGGCAGTTTATGATTCCTTACAATCAAGTAACTAAAGGCAGGTCTAAACTTTTTTGTGGTCAACTGCTCCAAATGTTCACTTTTATTGATAAATAATAAATTTAGTAGTAAAAGTTTAAAGAAAAAACAATAAATGAACTCGAGTTTGGAGCTTAACATTGTGAATGCTTTCAAAACTAAAGAAATGATTCTTTTTATTCAAATTTTATATCGTTCTATATCAGAGCCGACACTTTTAAGCACTTGGAAAAACGGTCGTTGGTTCAGTCGTCCACTCATTCATTAAAAAGCTTCCTCTTCTATTCAAATATATATTATATATATATATATATATATATATATATACATTCGTAAGTTTGTTCGTTGGTTCGTTCGTTTGTTAGTTCGTTCGTTTGTTAGTTCGTTCGTTCGTTCGTTCGTTCATTCATTCAAAAGTTTCTTCATCTATTTTTCTTTTCTACGTCATACTCTTCATTCATCCGATTTTTTTTATTTCATGTCTCAATAGCCAATCCAATCACGGAAGGATCATCAAATTTCCAGGAAGTCACGTGATAGAATAATTTTACTGTTCATGGTTTGTCATTGTTTCAAAAACTTTCATTAAAAAACTAAAATGAAACAGGAAAGAATTGCGCTGAAACAAATGTTTACCCAAATCGTTAAAAAACAGTCCTGGGTAAACAAACATAACAGAGTAAAACGTTTATGGCTTGACGGTAAGGGCCAATGAAAATTGGATCCTTTAATGTTAATAACTTATGAAATTGAAAAATACCTCTCTTTTGTCAAGTCAACAAAATTATTTAATTGTCTGTTGAATTCTGGTTTCACCCATAGTCCGATTTACTCAAACATTAAATTTTTTCCTGAAAATAACTGAAGCTATATTATTCAATTATTTACTTAATAAATCATTTATACCCATTGTTAGTCCGTTCATTCATTCTTTCGTTGTCAAACGGAGAAATGCTCGCATGTTATTCAATACTCACAATTAAACCTTCGTATCACCAGTGATGGACGGTAAAGTAATTCAAGTAATGAAATCACGTAATTCAAATCAAATCAAAATCAAATCAAATTTTATTCAATCAATCCAAATTAATAATAATTAGGTAATGATTAGGAGACCAAAGCTAAAAGAAAACAAAATTCTTGTGTCGCAGGCCACCGTTCACAAATTGTTCATTCTAACACAATTTTTAAGTAAATTTATAATTCATGACAAAATTAACATAATGCACAATTCAATTTACAATTGTAATTTGTATTGAAATTATTTTTAAGTAATTTGGTAGTTTCAAAGTAATTTCAAATTACATTTTGACTAAAAAATATAGTTTATATTTGAGTGAACAGATATACTTATACAAATTATTATTAAAAAAAATTTTTTTCTTGAAATTCTAAAAAATTTTAAATTCTAAAAATTTATTTGAATACAAATTTCGTTTGCGACTTTGAAGTTTTATGGTCATATAGATACATCAAAGAAGTTTTTGACGCTTCTTTTTTCTTTTTTTCTTTTTTCTTTCTTCTAACTAAAAAACATGAGTAATTTGAAAAAAAGCCTGCAACATGTAAAAAAGAATGAACTACATTCAGTCCAATGGATCGTGTGCCTGTTTCTCAAAAGAAACTATCCAAAACAATGTTACTGCTACCATGGCTGATGTTGCTGGCCGTGAATCGTAGTAAGAAATGATTATTTGGATCTTTGTGACCTTTTTAATTTTTTGATAAAATAAAACAAAGTATCTACCTAAATTGATTGCAATATCTTAATCTGCTCTACTTAATTAAAAAAACGTTTGCCAAATTAATCATGTAAAATAATAATTCGCTATTAGCAATTTTAATTCTTCTTTCGTGTTTTGTTGCATATTTTTATGTATCTGCTGGAAGTGGACCTTGGCATAAGGACTTTTGGTTTGAACCGACTTATGCTATGTTGTGTTGTGTCATGTTGTGTTATGTTATTGTCGTAAAACTTGAACGCTCGTAACTACCAGCATCAATGTTATAAATTTCAAAAATCTCTAAATTTCAAGAACTAGTGTTGTAGCTGTCAACGATCGTCAAGTTCACATTATTCCTTAGGTTCAAGATTTTCGATAGATGAACACAACTGCTTCAAACGCAAAACTCATCATTGTAAACCTAATTTTTATTCTTTTTTTATTCATCACAAATTTAAACTCTGACGGACAGATGTTAACACAACATGCAAATTTATTTATGTCACTAACGTTGGAAAGTAAATTGTATTGTATTGTATTGGAGAAACAAGAAATGAAAATTTTTAACATAAAAAAAATTACGTAATTTTATTACTTGAATTACATTACTGCCCATTTCTGGTGATACAAAGGTTTAAATGTTTTTAATGGGAAAAATAAAATCAACATGAAAAAATATATGTATCAGTACGAAAAACTTAATTGCGTCAGTATATTCTGCAAATATTAGAAAACACTGCTACTGCTAACATCGGCGGATCTAGACAACAACGTTGACGAGGGGTCAAAATTTAAAAAAGTTAAAATTTGAAATATGACGGGGGGTGGGCCACAGGATACTAACCAAATTTTTGCTATCCGGCCCCACCCCTACACCCGCCACTGACTACTATTACTTCTGGTACTGCTACTACTATCGTAGTTACTGTAACGCTTACACTAAATACTGCAACCGTTACTACTACTAATACAATATTGTTTTTTTTTTATTGCTGGTGTAATTAAAAGAATAGAAATAGTATAAATAATAAAAGAAATTAAGGAATAAAACGTATTGAAGGTAGAAATACAAGTGCAGAATAACAAGTTTAAAATTAAATGGAAATTAACGCTTATAAACCAGCGAAAATATACTAAATTTTAATAAAAAATTATTTGCATCTATGAAAATGATGATAAAAATGGTAATTTTTTCAGAAGCGTAGCAAAGGGAAGGCTTTGTCACTGCAGTCCTAAACAATACTTTTGGGAGAATTTGAAATGAATTTTTTTCTAAATTTATGTTCAGTCCATCTCTCATGCCAGTGTGATTAACTTAGTTGAGGCTACAAAAAAAATTGAAAATTTCTTTTCAAATTTTTAAAACTATAAGCACACGTTCTCGACTACACCGCTGCTTCTTAAAAGTAATAACCTTCAAATACTTTCAATCAATAAACTCAAAAGAAAGAAAAAGGTAGAGAGAGAGAGGGAGAGAGGGAAAGAGAGCGCATTTTATGTGTCCAAATCAACCTCACAGAGGACACAGCGAAATTCGCTACACGGTATATCGTCCCACCCGGTATATATTAAAAGGAGGATTTGTATGCAGTAGGCATTCCCTTCATCTGGAGGTGAATTGGGTTCTCCTTCAAACCAAACTGTTTCATCAATTTGCACGGGCTTTTGAATTCCTTTTGTGGAGAAACGAGAAATGAAATTTTTTAACAGGTTTATTCATGGGGAAAATAAAATCAACATGAAAAGGGCACAAAAAGAGTGCAACTCTTAATGTTTAAACTAACTAATTAAATTTTAATCTGATAAAACTGAGTTACTGCAGGTGATGTTAAGTTATAAAATAAATCAAAATAGAAGTTCTGAGTGAGTTGAAATAATTTAAAATAAAATATACATAATCTATTTTATAAATTGAAAAACGTCATTGATGAGGCATTACACAGTTTGACAAAAAAATGTTCCATGCCTCCCAAAAGATCAAAAACTTTTTAGGATAAAAAAGACATGACAAAAACCAGTCAAAACGTTTAAAGATATAATAAAAAAATAAAAACTTCAGTTAGACGCTGACTGGATGAAAAATTATAAATAATTTAACCAGGGTAAGGCGACCAGATGAACGTTCGAACGCCATCAACGTACTCTTGAATGCCACTTGTGAAAAATCCAAAAGAATTTGTCAGATGAGGTAGAGAGCATTGGGTAAGGTCGAAATCTAATGTGGATAAAATAAAGTTTGTTTCATTTTTATTGGTTTAAAATTTTCATTGTTTTGGTTTGACAAAATAGAAAGAATTTGAATTTGAATTGGTTACATTACGTTTAGTGAAATATTTTCTGCAAACAGACCTTTGGTCAATTGGTAAAAGTTGACTTTTCCAAATTTTTGTAAATTATGGCGTTTAATGAGTTACACACTTAAAGATAATAGGAATATCTTACAAGTAAAGTTGACGTAATCAAGGGAGATTGTGTTCTCAAGAAAATCATCAGTGACAATGGCATGGGAGAACGAGATGCTGTTACATAATGACTTTACGACTTGCCAGTTTTGCTGTGTGTACTGCATCTTATAGCACTTGTGGTGTTCTATCACGTAGTCGAATTCGGTAGGACAGTCTGTAATGTTCCAACACATGAAATCACTACCTATTCCGACATCACAATGATTTTGTAAACAAGTTCTAAAAATTTAACTTAAAGTTTCAGTATTATTTCATATATAATAAAAACTTTAATCATTTTACTAAATCATTTTAAACAAAATTTCAGTTAATATATGAAACGGTTGTTATATCCACCATGGTGAACGTAAGCCATGCAACCAACTCCACCAGCCATCAGATCAACAGTAGTAACTTTGTAACGAATGTTTGCTTTCGGGACGCATGAACATGATCCAATGGATTGAATGTAATTTACGCCTCTCAGTTCATTGCCCGTCATTGCCTTAAAAATGCGGTGATTGTCCGAATTTATCAGAATTAAAGTTAATTAATTTCTAACTTCTGATATGTGATTAAATGTTGAAAATTTTTTAAATAAAACTTAAAGTTCAATGGTTTTCTCTTCATTATGCTTGAATGTTTGAAATAAAAATTAATATTTTTTTTCAAACGAACCAAACATATAGTTAGGCAATCAATCTTGCTTCTTGTTTTGGTTTTCTTAAAACTTGACATTTGATCATCGAAGCAAACAAGAATTTTCTGGTTCTTAGCAATCAAGAAACTATAAGCAGGTCTAAACATCTTCCAACTCATCATGTTCTGCCCTTGTTGCTCACTCAGATGTGCAACAAAAAGTGATGCTAACACTTTAATCAAGATTAATATTTTAAATAAATTCATATTCGGAGAAATACTGAAAATATTTGAAATTTTTATGAAATAAAATATGATAAAAATTGCATTTGTTCAAAACTTCAATCTTAGATCGCGCTATTTAAACCACAAGATCAACGATCTTTCAACAATGGGAAAGACTACTGTTTATTTAAATGGCTATTGACACGTGTAAAATGTACACATACTACAAACACGAATACTTACTCGAAGGAAAATTTGAAACAAATGTTCGCTTTGAGACAAAATTCCCGCTTGAATCGTTCAATGAACAAATGTTTACGACAAACAAAACCAGATGAAGGGTGATTCCCTGAATGTAATCATAATTATTTACCTCTATATTTTTAAAACAATTTAAATTATTTTTATTTTTTGCTTATATTTTGTACAATTTTATTCTAATAAAGTTTTAGTTAATTTTGTTTTAACATTTTTTAAAATTTGTTAGGCGTGCGTACATGTGTCAACCTCCAGGCCTTTTAATTTTACAAAAATATTTAAAAAATGCATATCCGTTAAAAATACTTAAACATGAAAATTTTTTGTTGATGTGGATCTAATATTCTATTTTATTTTATTGCCGAATATGTACAAGCGTCTTAGAGAATAATTTAAATTTAATATCCCAGAGCCAGGAAAACATGCTAAAAATTATGCCAAATATTAACGTAGCACCTAAAAATTTTGAATCAAAAGCATCATCATCTTATGTCCAGGCTTACCAGTGCTAATTTCTTTTTTTCTCCATTCATTGCATTGCTTTTGTAAAGCGCTACGCAATGTACTGCAATAATTGTTAACGCCTCTGAGATCTTTTTAAAGGACGCTTACAATCACACTAATATTTATATTAATTACTGTTTAAGTTACAAGGTGTTACTGTAGAAATAAAATCAAACGAAAACTCATGTTAAATGTTTAATGAAATTTATTAAAACTTAACATCACTTTAAATAAAAAGAAAAAATAATTCCGTTAAAAAATTTGATTTGAAAAAATATGAATAAAAATATTTACATTAAAAAATACAAATAAAAGTATTCACAGTAAACGCAATGAAAACGTTTTTTCAAATGTATACAAAAAAATTTTAGATCAAAAATTAGCAGGTTTCTTGTGTTGGAGTTTAATAATCTGATTAATAGTTTCCTCGTCATAATCTTCATCTTCTTCATCGCTGGCTTCTTCATTATCCTCATTATCTTCATCGTTGACTTTTTCAACTTTCTGCTCCTTTGTTGCTGTCTCATTATTACACCTCTCTTCAGTTGCACCAACAACTTGCTCGCCATAATCAATTGACGCATTCCTGTAGTCAAGTTTGAGCCAGTCACTTAATTTCAAATATTTGGTTGAGGGTTTGATCATGGAATCTTTCGAGTGTTGTTGCTTGTGGATTTGCATTCTCGTTTCCGCAGACACTGTCACTTCTGCGTCTATCAGCCCAAACGGATTGTCATCTCTGAATCTTAATCCGCAAATACAACACATGACTCCTTTGTTCAAATTACGTTCAATACTTGGATCCACAGACTCAGATTTTAGCGGCAATTGAAACTGGTTGGACGACTCATCTTTTGTTATTGTGGTTGGAGGTGTTATTTTGTTATTCTGATTTTTTTCATCAGAACCCTTTTCGACATGTTCTTTATTTGCTGAATTTGTTTTGATCAAACCGCCTTGGACCAGATTTTTTAGCAAATCATCGATATTAATGGGACAGTTCGTTAGTTTGCTCATATCAAAATTTATTTTTTTAGAATCTCTGTTGTTCTCATCTTCCTCGTTTTTCCTTTTCCTACTACCGTGTTGAGGTTGGTTTGCATGATGATTTACGGCGTCAGAGGGATGAAATCTATTTTCAATCCACGGATTACTTGGATCATATTCTTCGTGATGGTTGTGGTTGTGTTGATTGCGTTGGTGATTGTTGACAGGTTGATGATAGTTATTGGATTGATTGGGACGATGGATTGTATGATTCTGTTGATTGAAATTATGGCTTCTTTCTTGGGGACGATTGGTTGAATTGTTGGAAGGAAGTCGATGTTGAAGTTGGTTGTTTTGAGGTTGGAAAAATCTATTATCTCGAATAAACGGTCTATTTCCTCTTTCAAACATTTGAATGTTGCTGGTATGTTCGTAGTCAAAAGAAGGTCGAACAAACGAAGATGAATTGAACGGAGGTTGAATAAACGAGGAAGGAATGAAAGGGGGATGAATGAAAGGGAGATGAATGGAAGGGGGTGGAATGGAAGGATTGAAGAAAAAACTATTGCGGTCACCAGGAGGGTTAATTTTTAAAGTGTTCTCATTTCTCATGGAACTCGGCCTGTACCTAATATTCGTATGCCTCTGATTCGACATTATTACTGATTGTAATAGCTGTTTGGCTAAAGATTTTAAAGACGTTTACCAGCAGAAGTAACGCTGCGAAAGTGTTTCAAGAAATGGTGATATGTCGTAGAATGTTGTTCTTATATAGTAAAACTGGTCTTTGTTATAAAATCGATCACGTAATCTTCTTTGTTTTTATTGTTATGGCATGAGATGTCGACACCTACTTTGTGTTAGTAATATTTATTTTTATTAGTTAGAAATCGAAACGCAAAGTTGATTGAGTGACAAGGTAAAGTTAATTTAAATTAAAATTTTATAAGCTGCGTAATATAAAGTGAATTTGCAACTGCATCACTTTAAGTTAAAAGACTAAATTTTCTATATGTCAGAAAATTGTAAAAACAAGTGTCAACTTTAACTGACAGCACTTGGATAAAATCTTTTATTTGGTATATTTCCAATATTTCTAAGTAAAATTAAAAATTGAACGTGTGCATATTTAAAATCATGTTTTTTTTGATTAAATTTGAACTTCTTTAAAAAACTTTCTATATTCAGATTTGCTTTGCTTATTGAAAGTTTCGACGTTTTACGAACATCAAAGTTAAAAGTTAGGTAATCTTGTTAAGCATTACTGCGCATCAACTAACAAATATAACTATCAATTTGAAAGATCATATAAATTTTTACGACCTTAATTGTCGTTAAAGTTACGATTTTAATGAAATATAGATTTGATTGATTGATTTTTTAAAAAATGGTTTAAAGATCAATGAAATGTTCAATAACACTTTACAATTCAAAGCCTTATTGTTTCGACTAGCAAAGTTAATTGCCAACGTGTCATACTGACACGTTTCATAATTGCTTGTAAGTAAGTTGACGTGACCAACGATGTGATTGACGTTTGACAGGATTACAATGTTTTTGACAGGTTAACAATTTTAACACATTATAGTCCATGAGAAATTAATCTCAAAACATTACAGAAAACGATATTATATTTCTTTACAAAAACATTTTATCTGATAATGAATTTGGAGTTAGTTTGATTAGCTGAGCGTAATATACCTACATGATTTTAATGAGTTTATAGAAAAAAAAACATTTTAATCTCGTCTTCAAAAACATGAAAATGCAGAAATTTTAAAAGAACAACATGGTAACCATAAGCATAGTAAGAAAAATAAAGTACCTACATTACAATTTTTTTTAATGATTTTCAATATGAAAGTATCTACTTAGAGATATAAAAAATTTTTAATCTTCTAGTTGCCATCACAAACTCGCAAAAGACACAAAGGGGATAGTTACAAATTTGGTCATACCGACCAAAATAACCAAGAACACATTGCACGCAGAAGTCGCAAAAATACTGTTACTGGGGCATTTGGTTGGTCCGCGTGCCAGGCTCAGTGTATCTGTTTTGTTGTTGTTTCCTTGGTTTACAAAAATTTTTTTTCAAGGTTAAAATTTTGTTTAGACATTTGTTTATTTCATTGGCATTTTTGTCAATTTGGGACTTTTTGCTAAACATTCTCACAATGTAAAGTGTTTTTGGCCAAATTGTAATATTTAGAAAAAAGCAGTTTGTAATGTTGCGTTACTGTGATGATGGTTTAAACAATACACACTCCCTAAAAGATTACACTATTCCAAAACTTCAAGACAGTTTTAAAATTCATGCCAGAATCTGTATCAGTAAACATTGGTTTATGAAAGATTTTATGTTTCAATAAACGTTGTAATGAAAATAATAAATATTGAAAAATCGTTTATTTTGTTGAAAAATAATTGTAAAAAAGTAAATCATCTTATCAATAAAATTAAAACAAAAAATATTATTCCTATTTTAACTACAATTAGCTACAATTTTAAAACTTAACCGGGATAAGGAGACCAAGGGTAAGGTTTCAAGACTCCATTCACGACTTTTCGTAATGCGTAAATGAAAAGAATTTGAAGAAGTTTCGTGTTTCGGTCTATGTTTTAAATATTTTGTGAGTGAGTTGCTCCATTATGTTGTAAATGCACATAATTTTATACAAAACTCCCTCAAATTCCGTTTTGGTAATATGTTTAATTTAACTGAAATTATGAATCCGAAGTTGAAATGTACGTAATTTCTGAACAATAACAATAAAAAAAAATAAAAACAGTTTTCAAATAATTTTACAACAATTTGAATTCCCTTCCTTAACACTCAATAAAATTTGACAACAAGATTCAATTATTTTTAAAACTATTTTAATTATATTACCTAACAAAAGACATTTTAACTAAATTTGATTGTAAAAAAAACGGAAAAAGTTTAAAATTATCTTGATTATAGTTGTAGAACACTCTGAAAAATGTAAATTTTTATTTATTTTTTAATGTTATAATTTTACTTCAATTGAAAAAATTTTGAATAAAATAACTTCGTGCTTAACATTGAGGCAAAGGAAACGATAACTTCCAGCAAAGTTTTCGGGTTCTTTGTTTTAGTCTCTGTCGTAAAATCCAAAAATTTATTATTTTTCTTTGCGGTAAAATGAACAAAGTTTATTCTTACTTTGTGAAAATTCAAAGTTCTTTATTTCAAAAAAGTATATATGTAAGCTACTCATCAAAATAAATCAGAAAAATAATACTTTTGGAACTTTTTTAAATTTCTGAGCCAAACATTCAACTCTATCAACATGTCAACAAAATCACCAGAATCAATAATGATAAAATATTTAGATTCTATAGTTCAAAGACATTTGAACCGTTGCACAAAAGGCAAGTTGAGAAACGAATATATGATGTGCAAAAATTATTTAGACACCATCAAACAAAAATACAGTTTGCCTAGCGAAGAAATAGACCACCTCGCCATTGTAGGCTCAAAAGGAATCAACTTTCAAGGTTTCCGTATGAAGAAATTGAACGTTTTCGATTTACTGTCAGCTGGTCAACAGTTTGACATCATGAAGAATATGCAGGACTTTCACTCTAAGCAGGTGTTAGCCACTCCGTTACGAGAACATTACACTGAAGAGAAAAAGAGGCGCTCGTGCGTCGTTTTCACTGTTAAGATCCACCACCTAGACACGTTTCATCACGCTAGGATGGTTAGGAGAACTTTCATTCTACCCTACTGTTTGGAGAAGTTTTCATGCGACACATGTGTTATTTGCGTAAAGAAGTTCACAGAAAAAGAATTTCTCTACATGTTGCATTGTGGTCATGCTTTCCACATGGAATGTTTAAACAGGTGGTTTGAAGAGAAGCAAAGCTGTCCGTATTGCAGACAAAACGTCATTGTCGGTAGTTTCACTGAGTACAGGCGGGAGCTCTACGTTGATGAAATTGGGTATGAAGCTGTGGATGTCTATGCTAAAACTCAACCAAACTTTTAAAGCATGCATTCATTTCTTATAATTTTTCATTTTGATTATCATTTTACGTGTTTAATGAAAGTTACAGTTCTCAGAGCCTCGGCTTTGAATAACAGGCGTTAACTTTTGGTTTTTATCTCTTGAACATTGTTCGCATTATTCTTCATTGTTATTATTATAGAACAAAAAAGCTTTTTTTGGTGTTTTTATATCATGTTATTCGAATTGGTTAGCTTCATCCTATTTAATTTTTCGATTTTCATTATTTCAAAAGGTATTTACACGTTCTAGGTTCTTTGAAAATAATCGTAATTAATTCGAAATTACAATATAAAGTTTGAGTTGAATTTGTGAAGTAATTTTTTATTATTCATACTTTAGTGATTTTATATACGTAATTACGATAATTTATTTTAATTACGATTTAAATTTGTCAGTCATTCGTTTCTATTTCATTTGCGCACTATTTTTAAAACAATGTAGCCAAATATTTCTTACAAATATACACTAGTTTTTTTTAAACATACAAATTTCAAATAAAGCAGAGCACAAAAAGTCTATAATAGGCTTGTGAATTTAACAAATATGCCCTAAATTAAAATACCGAGGTTGAGTAGTCACACAAAAAGCATCTTAAATGTTAATAAGAGTTATTTCTAATATTGTAAAATGATTTCGATTAGTTTCTAAAATAGTTTTAATAACAAATGTCTTAACAGAAAAAAATATATTTCTTTATACTTAACAATAAATTGGCAAAAAATTTTGAAAATCTTTTTAAACAAAAAAATAACTAAACTAAATAAAACATTTATTTCCATTTTTATATACGTTCATTTTGAGGTTACTCTTTAAAAGATTACCCGTGGAGTAAATCCCGTCCAATCTGATTTGTTCCTGGCTAAGTAGTTATAAAAATATTCTAAATTTTTAATTTAGTTTTAATAAAATTTTTTAATTTCAATAAATATAAATCTTTTATCTACATTCAATTTATAATACTAATGATTAATAGTTATTAATTGATTCATTCTTAGTTAAACTTAACCACATGAAGCAATCGAAAATGAGTCTGATCATCAAATATAATCCAATCCCTATCCCAAACAGAATAAAAAAAACTGCAAGTTGCATGTTCGGTTAATTAAATTAGTTGAAATGACTTTATTAGTATAGCAGACTTTTCTAAACCTGAAATAATTTCAAGATACGCAAGATTCGCATACGCAGACTAAATTATTATTTAAATAGACGCATTGCTAAATTAAAGATTCAATCCTTCAGAGTAGATGTTTAAACTTATATACAAACTCTTATACAAACATCCAACATTATATATACTCATATACAAACATCCAACATTATTTTCGACATGTCGTACTTACTGGAATGAACATTACTCTATGCTCATAAATAGAGATCTTCTTAGATATGTTTAGTACCATAACCGATAATCTTTAGTTAACGCTCCAACCCGGAAACTGCAACACACTGAGACAAACACAGACAAACACACTCACACATGCACACTCACACATACACACACACACCTACCTGTATTGCATAAAACAAATTCCTTAGACAAAGGAACTTTTGAATTATTATCGATAATAGAGAGCGTTTTCTCGTAAGCTCCCTGCTGCCATACAAACAGCCATTTCTTTCTGTATTGTAAACTACTCATATCCAGGTTGATGCTCTTCAAATACGGAATTATATTACCCATATTTGAAGCGGCTTCATCACAGGTCTCACCTATAATTATCGTTCCATTGACTGTGCTCTGAGGACGATAATGAGATGATGAAGCAGCGATGGTTATATGGATGATGATGATAGTATAGATAGGATGGCGATGATGATAATGAATTATTAGGCGATGTAGCTAATGATGATGAAAGCTGTAAAAACTGCAATATCTCCATTAGTTATGTTAAATGCAATATACATTTTCTTTATGACCAATTAAATAGAAAAATCGTCGACAAGTCAGCTCGGTCGGTCGAAGTGCCATGTCTTGTGCAGTTACGCCTGGCCCGGCTCGGATACAGTCTGTCTGAAAGTCAAAGACAATTATACGGTGCTTGCCGGTGCATAAAAATATGCTGTATGTACTCGGTGTGGATGTGTAACTTGTAAGCAGTTCTGACTATGCCAGAGTAGCATAATAAAGAGCAAAAATAATAAATACACAAAAATAGCATCTGATAAACCACAAAGTGAAATTTACCTTGAAAAAATTCATCATTCTTAAAGCATTGTATGCATTAAGTGTGACATCAAAATTATAAAAATTATACACGGAATAGTTTTGTATGTTGAACTGGAACACATTCACTCCTCTGTTGCTAGGAAAAATTCCACAATATTGGTTCATTCCCTGTATGTCGTCGTTCAGTATGGGGTGCTGTATGCCTGGAATCAATTCAAAGAAGCCGACGGATGTTACCTTGATGTAGGTTGGCTCTGGATTTGTATTAAAATGTTTGGGAGAAAACTGAAAGTTAACGTTTCATTGGTGCATAAGATTACGATGTTCGCTATATTGTTTGATAACTATTTCATAAAAAAAATATTTGCTTTATTTATTGATCATAAATAGCTCTTTATTAAAATTAGTTTGATGTAATAGTTACTTTCAGCAAGATACAAGAAACAGTCTCCGGCAAGGTTCTTATATAAACCATCTGGCAAGTTGTTGAAGTGATAACATGAAACGTCGTACAAACCAGCATCATTTAACATCACTCTAACTTGAAACGCAAAACAGGTTTCGATCGATATCTGACATTCGACTGCACAATTTTTTAAATGGTTCCTATCGTCGGCACCTTCGCGCGGCAAAAAACTTCTTGAGAATATTGAACTATTCTCTTTGGAGTTTGAGCATAGTGGCGTTGTTTTCCACATCAGTCTAGTGTAAATTCTCATCTGATTCGACTGAAGATTTGACTCAGATGAGCATTTCATAGGAAACATTAAAATTATCAACCCAACAATAAAACGCATACTGGTATTGGGATTTGTTACAATTCGCGAAAATTACTTCATAAATCTTGGTTATATTTTGAAGAAAACGACTGTTTACAAAGTATTTTAACGACAATTCAGGAAGATTTTATACCATTATTTTATAGAATGTACATACAAATCTGAATTATTCCTATTTTCCATATTACATTTTGCTATTCATACATTTGAATTGAACATTTTATTCCGTATTCGTATATTTCATATATCCACATTTAATTTGACAGAGAAATTTTGAATAGAATAGTTTTCAAAATGTTTTCTATTTATGACTCTGCAGTAGAAAAAAAAGCCCTGCGATGAATTATTGCGTTCGGTTGTCATCAGTCATTCATTCGTCTGTATTGTTTCACGTGCCCAGACGAAATCCACTCTTTGCTGATGCAATGTGTTCTTTTGTTGTGTATTTTATTTACGGAATGTTTTCAATTGTGCTTCGAAAACGATGGAAATTTAAATGAGAATTTTGAAAATTAACTTTAATTTTTAATGAGTAAATAAAATAAAAAATAAAATATTATCTTTTAATGGCTGCAATAACGAAGTAGACAGTAACTTTAATGTGTGTTCCAAGTTGTGCTCGTTGAGTAAGTTTAAGCCATATTATTATGATAGGAATTAATTAAAGTTTTAATTAGTGCAAAAAATTATGTATTTTTATTAATTTTGTTAGTTTCCATATCGATTTTTGTTATGTTTTTCTAGCTCTTCAAGTTATAAAAATATTTCGTAAAACTTGTACAAAACTTGAATGACAGTGTAATGGATATGGCAGGGGGGTTTTCCCCCTTGAATGTTGGAGGAACAAATTCTTATTGGGTCAATTTTTCAGTTGATTTAGAATTATTTGCTATACATAAAAAAAAAGACAACCTGTTAACGTTGTTGGTAGCAAATGGTCTTTATTATATTGATAGGTCTAAAGCTTAGATTAGTTTTAACCAGATTTTTAAATAATTTACCCTCCTCAACTTACACAAGTTGAAGTGGAGACGGTTGCCTTCTCCTGCTTTCAGTAGCCCCGGTTAAATTGATTGGCACTGTCGTTGCAACAACCAGGCTCGTATGCAAAAGGTATTTAGATACCCTGTATTTAGTGATGTTGTTGTGGTTGAAACCTCTGAGAAAATACTGAAGAGAATTTGAAAGGAAACACGATTCAAAATCTAGAGTAGCCCAAACATGTTGCTACATTTATACTTTTTCAGCATTCAGAAAAATATTCCGATATATAGTGTGTGTAAATTTTTGAGCCATTAAGAGGCAAATTGCAGTTGATAATTCAAATGAATGAAAATGGTTAGAAATGTTCGTAAAATAATACCTAGCCAGGTAAGTTCCTCTAATTTTAGACTTTTCGATTTCATTCACTACCTGACACGTGTAATAACCTCGCACTTTATTATACTCCGAGTACTCCTCATAATGTACAATTGAATTCAAATCATCTTCATATGACAGGGAAAAAATTAGTTTCGTCCCGTTTGGAAAAACTATATAAACTTTTAATTGAGAGCCTCCTGTTACTTGGCAGCTTACAACAAGTTTGCTTTCGTTTAAATAATTAACTTGTAGGTTCAAAACTTTTGGAAAATCGTTTAAAAATGTTGGTGATTCAGAAAAATTTCTTTCACGTTCATTAGTTTTCGGACGAGGTTTTGAAGTATTAGAAATAATTTGTTCTGTTGATGTTTTGTTCAACTTTTTCAATTCTTCGAAATAATCTCTAGCTAATTTATCGTCAACAAAAGTTATATTTACTCTGTCTAAAATTTTAACAATGTTTTTGTGGATTTTTGAAGGACTGCCAACGACCTGTATACTTTTGAGATTTTTGAATTTTTTAAACTTTTCAGCTTCTAACGTTAAAGCCTTTCCTAACAAAATGGATAAGGTAGTTAAAGTTTCATGCAAATTTTCCATGGCTAAACATTTTTCATAAACATCGCTACTGGTTGCACTAAAATGTAATCTTTTGACGTTTTTTAAATATTTCAAAAATTCGACATTTGTTACTTCTGCACCAAAATAAATGTTCGAGAGCTGTGTAAAATCCTGAAAAAAACAAACTGCTTGCTCTTAATTTCCAATAAAATGAAATTATTTTTACTAAATTTAAATTCTATCATAAAATAATTCATTTTTCACCTTGAAAGCTATTAATATAGAAATTGTAGGTAAGTTTCAGAGGTGCCTAGCCAAGAAAAGTTAAAGAATGCAGCGCTCCAAAATAATTTTAAAATATTTTATATGTTGAATGCTCGTCCGCAGCCGTTATATTAAAAAATGATAAAAAAATTATACAATCCAATGTTTGTAGATGAAACAAACTTTTAAAATATTTTCGTTATAACCGGCCGTTGGAACACTCGGACCATCAACCATTAAACCATATAAAATCTCAGATAACGGAGCTATGAATTGTTCATCAGTCCAAAATTTATTATTAAAGTCATCGCAATCAACTACGTACATTGTATTCAAAATTGTAACGCTCGCAAACAAGTTTTGAGGAATTTCTTCAATTTTACAACCATCAATGTGCAACATCTGGATATTACGTTTTTGAAAAAAGGAAGGCATCATTTTTCCCACCTCAATTTTTTTGAAGCGAAAACTAACTGGCATTAGATAAGAAATATTTCTTATTTCAGGGTGTTGATCATCTAATATATCAATCCAGCACGATTCAAGTGCACATTGATTTCCGTGGCACCACGCTGGACACGTCGTTACGGCTTGTTGAACAGCAAAATTATATTTGAATAATATGAAAACATAAATTATTTCTAATTGAAACATGTTTTTTGTTTGTTATATAATTAAGTTAACAAACTCAAAATAAATATATCTGATGTTAACGGGTGATCTTTTTACCAGTTGATCAAAATTTGTGTTTCAAACGATTTGTAATAAACATACCAAAGAACAATATATTGTTTACATTTGTAAAAGTGAAAACGGGATAAAAATCTTTATGTTTGAGAAAATAACAAACTTCAATTAGTTTTATCTTATACATAAAAATGACAAAATGTATCAATTCTATTAAACACAACTAATATTTTATCGAGTTAGCTCAGTCAGTAGATGTGCAAAGTCTCGCGCTGAATTATACGAGAGGACATGGTTCGAATACCGTCTGTTCGTAACCTGAATGTATATGCGTGTCGTATGGTCTGTACTGTACTGCCTTTGTGGTCCAAAGTTTTAATTACAGGTATAGATAGCAGCACGATGGCAGTTCTGCGTTCGACAGAGCTTTTTTTTATAAAAGATTAGAAAAAATAGAACAGGATTATACTTAACTTAACCTACTTTTAACTTAACTCATAAATGAAAATCGATATTTTATTAATGCAATAGAATCGTTGTGTCATATTTGTTTAAAACCATAATAATTATGTATACATAGCATTCGAGCAAGTTACAACATAGCCGCGAATGCAGTGGCGGATCTTGAGGAGAGCCAAGGGACCGAGAGATCAGGGCATAGCTTCTCGTTGTGAGCGGGTAAAACTCAGTTTTTAGACAGGTAAACATCGTTTTAAAGTACAAAGTCGACTAAAAATTGGTGTGATAATCAAAAAGAAAAGAAGGCTGTCAGGTAATTTAGCATTTAAGCTGGAATTGACAGGGAACAAACTAACCGAGAAGCAGTATGGCGAATGAACTATAATAGATTGAGTGAACTCGTGAATAATAATTAATCGAATTAACGACTTCTATGTTAATAATAATCTTGATGATTTATTCTAAGAATAAAAATGAAGAAGATAGCCACTACGGAAAGCAAAAAACAAAGATAGTTGGAGGTGTATAATAATTACTTACGTCATCATACAATCTGAAATAAAAACAATGCTTTAATGGGAAAGAACTTTTTTGTTTATTTGTTTTTAAATAAATTATAAAATTATTTGGCATTTTCGTTGTAAAAATAAAAAAAAGCAAAGTATCAACCCGACATTGAAAAAAGTTGGAGCTCTTATAAACTAGTAGTATAAGAATTTAATTTTTTTTTTATTCAACCAAATCAACTAACTGGCGAATTTATTCATTCGCCATACAATCACAACATTTTATAAAAATACTATATTTTAAATCTTACTACTTATTAATTATCTCTGAAATATTAAAATTTAAAAATTTTAAGAATTCATTCATATTTATATACTTTGAAAATTTCAAATGGGAAAAAAAAATTATTCCGCAAATTATTAAATCGAATAAAAATTTGGTTTCGAGTTACAAAAATATATTGAAAATATATTTTTCGTAGAATAAAAAAGTGAAAAATGGCCCATAAAGCTTCGATAGATTCGACAAGCTCCGACGCAACAATGGAAGACCTAGCTGCCTGCTTCGATCTGTACGACAAGGACAAGAACGGCTACCTGGATAGGAAAGAGATCACGATTGTGGTCAAGGAGTTTCTCAAGGCTGACCAGTCAAAGAAAAAGTTGTCAAAGTCTGAAATCGACAAGGAAGTTAAGGTGCGATGGGCTGATTTTGCTTGTTTGATTGGATGGCTGGTATGTTTTGGATGGTTTATTTGTGGATCGGCGAATTACGTGGCTGGTCGGTTGATTTGATCCAGTAATGTGCTTAGTCGTTTTATTGTTTTGGTCGGTGAGTTGTGAAAGATAAAATAACTGGTTCTTTATAAATACCGTTGGCTGGCTCTTATATGGATTGGCAAGTTGCCTTCTTGATCAGCTACCTTAATGATGGAGTTTGTTGAAAGCTTATCTTAATTGGTTATTTGGTAGTTTAATTGATTCTAGCGCTTTTTGGTTTCCATCCGTGGTCTCAACAACAATTAAACTTATTTAAATTCGACCCCATAAACACAACGGACGAATTTTTAATTAACTAAATAAAAGGCTACAACTAATTATAATTAACTTTTTTTAAAAAAACTTTATTTCATGAAGCATTTGTGAAACAGAGAAAAACTATAATTAATCATAATATTCAACCATATTTAAATGTAATTAAGGAAAATATATTTGGAAAAAACCGCAGATGTTCATAAACATGCTAGACACGAACAACGACAACAAGATTAGCAAACAGGAATTCATGGACTTCTTTGCGAAGCACATGAAACAGGAAAAAGAGAGACACAGTGAATGAGTGTGAGAATGAACGAGTGGATGAATGAGTGTGAGAGTGAATGATTGAAAATTTGAAAGTGAAAGAAAGACTGAGAGTATAAAAGTGGATAAATAAATGAGTGATTGAACTTCGAATGTATTTGTATGAATGATTGAAAGGATCGTTAAAACTGAAACGCTTGGTGAATGAAAGATGAGATTAATGATAAACTGATCAATACCGTGATTGATGAGTTGAAAGAATAAGTTTTTAATTTATGGGATTATTGATTGAATGAAAAGGTGAATAACAGGTAAGATATTTAAATTTTATAGCAAAAATTTTAGCGTCTACATTTGAGTAAAAATTTTGTAAAAATCAGTCTTAATTTGGAAAAAAATATCCTCTGGTATTGCCTTAGCTGACTATAATACTTAATGATTCAATGACTTATTAATCAACTAATTAATTAACCAACTAAATTCATGTATAATTATTTTAAAATTTCTGATAAAAAAGTGATTGGTGATGTGACTTAATGTATTTTAAAACAGTGGCAGTTTGAAATAATTCTTGGCTAGTAGTACTTGATTACGTGAAATTTCCAATTACTAAATCTGAAATCTTTTAGTAAAACTGCGAGTATGTGTAATTTTGATTGTTTGCAAGTCGATTTCCATTTATTAAAAGTTTTTATTTTTGGCGAACTTATTACGAAATAGTCATTTGAATATTTTAATTGTATTTTTATTTTAACGTAAAATTAAAATCATGCGTTGTAGTTTGGGAGAATAAAAGTGAAACCCGACAGGTAAATTTAAAATTAAAACGACTAATTTAAGAACATTTTTTAGGAATTACATTTCAAATTCATTTTTGAAATTTAAATTAATTTTCATACTTTTATTTTTGCTGTTCTTATTTTTATTTCTAACCAAACCGATCCTCTTGTTTGACGTTTTCGGTTTAATACCGGGAGCTGGCTCCATTTTGTCTCTTCCTGATTAGCGAAGAAACCATTAAATATGAAAAAAAAATATAAAAAAATAAAAAGATAAATAAATAGACATGCAAATATTTGCCAAAACTATAGCAGTTCATCAAAGTTGAGTATTTTATTCTTTGCAGTTATTATTTGCAATATTAAATAATTATTCAACTAAAATCTAATTTTTTTAAATTAATTGCTGTTTAGTTCTGAAAACAAAAAGCTATAATTGCGTACCAAATGACATTTTTATTAAAATTTCTATAAAATGCTTTCAATTGTAATAAAATAAACAAAAAACTGTCGAATTGTAATGCGTGAAATTATTTTGATTATATTTTCTAGTACGGAGGTCAAGTTGACCGACCTCGCGTTTCGCATTGCGTGCCCATCAAAACGAAAATTTGAAAAACGTAAGTAAGGGGTAACAACAAACACCAACCTAACAACTTGACCATATTCTTATCTTCCAATTTAAACTCCTTCCTAATCCTAAGCACATCCAAATCCTCCCAAACCGCGTTCTTCTCCTCAGCCCTACTATCATGGCACATGTACTCGCAAAACAGGAAAGAGAATCCAAAAGTTATAATTGAGAGTAGCAGTCCGAGGAATATTTTCAACGAAAGAGTGGTCGCTGTTCTCCAGTACGGAACAACATCGTCCTGAATGATACAGTCCTGTGATTGGTAGGATCCCAATTGTGTCTTTGTGCGGGTTCCCTTTGGACATTTCAGACACTCCTTTGAGAAATATTTACAGCGATCTTTTACTATTTATTGATCATTTACTTCATGTGTCGTTTATTTTTCAAATTATATTTTTTAATAGCCTATATGATGATAATTTAATTAAGTTTCATGATAATTTAAGTAATCGTAGCATTTTATTTGTATGCAAGCGATTTTAAATAGTTTATTTTATTAAGATAAAATTTAAATAAAATCTAATAAACAAAAAAATTAAAAATAACTTAAATAAAATATATTTATCCAAAAGTTTCATGTTGAGTTTATATAAATGAATTACAAAAACTAGAATGAACTCTGACCCTGGCTCCGTAACTCTCTTGAAACGTATCAACAGGACAGAGTTCACATCTGCTAAAAAAATTTCTACTGTTGTGTGAACCAGGAAGGCAAGGCAAGCAGAAATTCCCCTGCTCAAGAAATGTGAACAAAAAATATGGCAAATAAAATAGCATGGATTTGTTAAAACAAAAATAAGTTAAAAAATTAAAATTGTTTTATTTATTTTTTAATTTGCTGTAGTTTTACTTCAAGTTATTCTAAATAGCAATATAATTATTAAAAATAAAATTTGATAAACAGAATATTAAAACATGAAAAAATTAAAACGGAAAGAACTGTTAACATAAGAACCTTCAGAGAAAATCCAGGGTAGCAAAACAAAATGACCCTTCCCTTCAAAATGGTTTCCGGTTGGAGATGAACGCCATTAGGCAAATGCGAAGATAGAGCAATGAAATTCACTAATTTGAAGATATCATCAGTGTGCCAAGATATATGGTGGATTCTCAATTTGAATGTGCACTCATCAGAGCAATCTAGTGGATCGAACAAAGGATCCGGTGACTTTAGAAGGTACATCACTGCAATCTGTCGAGTATTCTTCTCGTTGTATATTTCATTTAATTTCTCTTTTTCCCTGTCCTCCTCCCTGACGAAAGCAGTTGTGAACGTGAACACGTATGGAGTAGTCGTAGTAGGAACCAATAACTCCGGACTGTTCGAGACAACATCGAATTGAAGGAAATCAACGGTTACCGATTCGGTAGATGTCAGAAGAGACAGATCCGGTCCGGTGTCGTTCTCGACGGCGTTTAAAAGCAGTTTCAGAAGTTTGATGCGCCGACGTCGGATTTTTTCCTCGTCGCTTAATCCAATTTCATCCGCTGAGAGGAAAGCTTCAGTTGTCGAAAATTTCGGATTTGAACTGATAGATTTAATAGTCTGGTTTAAATCGCTTGACGTAGATTTATACTGATCTTGCATTGAATATTTTATAGTTGAACTATTTAATTTAAGGTGGGACAAAGTAGAAGTTTTAAAAATTGACTTTGTTTGAAATAAAGTATTATCTGTTTGTGTAGGACGAATAGAATTTTTGCTTGACTTTTCATTCATTGCGATGTTTTTCTGCGAATGGAACTGATGAAGTGTAGAATTAATTTGGTTGACACTTCTTTTTATCTTCAACATAACCATTGCTTCGTTTTCATTCATCGTTTTGGATTTCACCTTTTTAATTTTTGGCATTTTAAATTTGAGCTCCTTGTACTCTTCCTTAGTTTTGTCAATGACTGTTGAGAGGTTTTCGTGGCCAATTTCTTTCAGATGGACATTCCTTTCAGACATTATGAGGTCGTAGGTTTTGTAGGGTTGGCAGACCAGTGAGATGTTGTATAAGCAGTCTGAATCATTAATGTTGTTCGGTGAAATATAATTATTATTTTTATAAAATTTAATGTTTTTTTTTTATTTCATAACAATTACTTTAAATTCAGTGACGGTCAGGATCGAATACTGTTTGCCAGAAATTTAAGAAAAATTATACACCGTTCGTGCATGATAATATGGTACATTGAGTTTGTACAAAAAAATTTATAAAGGTTGTGTAATGTGAATGTAAGCCTTTGTGGCATAGAAGTTTAACTATTAAGTGTAATTTGTTAGCAGATTTGCGTATTTCAAAGTTGCAAAATAAAGAAAAAAACGAACTCTGCCTCCACTGCTGACTAACATCTGGTTTTCCACACAGATGTTCATAGATTTGGTCAATTAAATCGGCCATCAGGTGAGTTTGGTGTGGACAGCTACTGGTCACTTTAAATACAAACGGGGTCTCGAGGGCCACGTGAGGAATGTCATACACTATCAGGTCAACCACGTGTTCCACTGTTTTCGTTTTTGCATATGGAATGATGCAGGTGAAATAACCGGTGTCCTTTACTCTAGCTGAGGCGATCTTATTTCAATGGTGATGTCCAGTTAGTGTTGGACAGGTGGATGCCGTATATTGTTGATTTTATAATATGTTGAACCATTAATGAGTGTGCTAGTGAAATAAAACATTATTACTTCATGATTTTTGAATATATTATGTTAATGAATGTTCTTGAAAAGCAATCATAAAAGAAAATGCTACAATGAATTTACAATTTTCGATGTGAAAATAATAAAAAAAATAGCTACAGAAAAAGTGTTTAAGACCATAATGTACTGAAACAATTGTATACAGATTTATTCACCAATTAATTATTCATATTTGATTAGCACCTCATATATAGGTACATATAAACTAGAACATCGAAACGATTTATAAATAATTAAATCAACATTACTCTAAACTTAAAGTATGATCGATTTTTAGCATAATTTACCGACCCAAATCGTTTTAACACTATCGATCCTCGTCCTCATCGAATCGACACTACCCGATAATATGATATCACCGGTCGGCCCTTTCCAGACGGCCTCCATCATCAGTGGCACCAGCCTCATTCCGCGTCTCGGTAACGATACGTTTACGACGAAACATGGAAAATTAATCTGATTTCCTAACCTGACATAAATCGTTCGGTGAGTCGGAAGCTGGGCCTCGGGAAATTCGTGGATGATTTCAATTTCTCCGCCAGTCGTTAGCGATGAAAAGGTTATTAGTATTATGAAAGTTTTTAACATAAATATAAAATTTCTTGACGTAAATATGAAATTTCTTACAGTAAAGGCCATTGTGAAGCGAAACTACGGATAAATCGGATAAATGCTTTTCGAAGTGTTTGTTTATTTATTTTTGAAATCGTGAATGACGCCATTGTCGGAATTTAAAATTCAAAAAGCCACCAGCAGGGCACGTTTTGAAGTTCTATTACATAAAATATTCATCAATCGATAACTTTTTGTTCTACTTTTTAGTTATATTTTAATTAAATCAAATTAAAATTATTAAAAACATTTGAAACATTTTTAAAAATTATTCTATAAAGTGTTGGAAATCAAGTTATAACGTTGAATTTCAAACTGTCAGATTATATTAACGAATGCTTTTTTAATCTAAAGAACGTGACGTCATTTATTTTGAACTGAGAGTTTACAGAAACATTTTGTTTCATAATTTTATGTAAAACTCTTAATTCATTCAACAATATTTTTGAAAAATTGACACAATTCACACTTTTTTGATCAAAATAAATTAAAATCAGATAACGAAATTTAAAAATTAATTGATTAAACAGATTTACAACAAATAATAAAAATTAAGTAAAATATTGGAATTAAATAAACTTTTTTTTTATAGTGAAACAGTGCATAGTCGTATGAGAATTAATGATTGTTATAAATAACAAGAGCATGTAATTTCGTGTTAACCAGCACTTAGTGAGGAGAAAATCGAAACTACTGTTATTACATGAGGAAATTTATGTGGATGTCTATAAAATGGTCTAGGCGTATTACGTATGTGTGTTTGTATGGGTGTTTGTGCGTGTATTTGTGTGTGTGTGTGTAAATGTGAGTATTGTGTTTATCTATGTGTGTTTGTGTTTATTTGTGTGTAAGTGCGTAAAAGTAATTGTAAGATTGTATGTTAATTTTATATATTATATATTTGTTAATAATATGCGATCCGAGGCTTTGTCTCAGGAAAATGATAGAAGTTATTAAATTCAATAAAAAAGACAGCTCCAACTCAGAATAAATTTCATTTTCAGAAAGAAGAGTAAATGTCAATCGATGTGATGTAAATTGAGAAGGAAAATAGAGATTTAGATCATTTTGAAAAAAATATTAACTTGATAAAATAAAGTACAAATTAAGTGTTAGATTGAATCATCTCTTTAAAAATATAATAATGACAGCAAGTTTAAACAAACGAATGAACTTATGAACATATTATAACACATAACGGCTGTTTTACTCATAAAACATGCAAATTTTAAGTAACGAAAATGAAAAAAATCTATTCAGCAAGTAACGTAAATAATTAATTTCACAAGGTATAGATAATTAATCTTAAAATTCTACTGTCTTATTTTACATAAATACGTAAATACTAAACATACCAACCAACCAACTCATTGAAGTATAGGTATGTATCGAATTATAGCATATACACATACAGTATATGTATAGATACGTTATATATGAGTGTATTTTCAAATACGTTTTAATCATATATACCGCAAATGATATATAATGCTATTCTGTCATAACTTTTTTTTTTTTTGACATATTGTTGTTACGTGAAAATAATCAATGTGACAATTTGTTAAATAGTACGTGTTGATTATAGGCATGTGTGATTTTACATTATGTTACATTACCTGCTGTATGAACTTAATATGAGAGATAAATACACAGTTTATAAGTAACAGTTTGAACATGCCTACCAGTATGTTTATACTACTATATGGAATTGAACTAAAACATAGGATAAATTGAAATTAGATTATAACACTTGATATTAGCGTAGACAGGAGAGTGTTTGTCTCACCAACCACTATCATATTTATCTACAAAATGTAGTCTCCACTCAAAATATGGTGATTTTTCTATGTTTTTTCCATTCTCCCAGCTCAATTGGTTGTTCAACTGATCGATTGCCTGTAGCAAAAGGTTAAAAAATGACACCAAGGAGGAATTTCTTCGGGTTTCTTGTGTAAAATATAATGGATAAGTGGTTTTATAAAACGCTTTTTCTTCTATTCAAGTTTACAACGGGCACAATACGGTAGGGCCTATTTTATTTGTAATTCAATACTGGAGTACTATAAAGTGTGAATAATATATATATACATATAGAATGTAAGAAAGTATGTAAATAATGTAAAGATGTAATAATGTAAGTTTTTTTCTGTATATAGTAGGAAAGAATTTTTTTGTTATTAAAATTGAAACTTCACTTTTAAGCAATGGTGTTTTGTGAAGGTTAGTGAAACCCAGGTAAAAACGTAAACAAATACATGTCGTTAGTTTAAATTTTAAAAAATGAAAAAAAAACAGATTTTAAATAGATGCTGCCACTAATCTGTTGTTGCAAATTTTAAAGACGTAGTTAATAAAAATAATAACTTTTGAAATATCAGTTTAATTTGAATAAAAAAAAATTTAATGAATGTTGAACTGAATGCTAACAAAAGCATGCGTGTGAGAGGTGGTTTTCTGGAGTCCGCCAAACCCAAACGTCATCTAGGTAAATAAAATTTCACCCACACACACACAAGCACACACACATACACACATATATATATATATATAGTATATATATTACATATAATTATGGCTAAGACTGTCGTAGATACAATTGTTAAAAAATATCACTGCTTTTTCAACTTTGATCAAATCAAAGGCTTGGTTTCAAAGGTGGAAATGTAATGATATTGCAATGTAATCATACATAGCTGTAATAATTATAGTGAAGATGTACAGTGTAATTGTAAAATATACATTTTCACAATGATCATAATTCCCAATAAATAATGATAATTATTTATAAATAACTTATAAATAAATAAATAACTTGACTAACCTTATGTATGACTTTGACAATTAATTAACAATAACATGTATTTGGGTTTAGTATTAACTTACTATAATAATCTAATGTATTTGTATGTATATTTATATTACATATTAAATGATTGTAATTTAAATTTTTTGAAATTTTGAAGAAGATTTTAAGATACAAGTTTTTGTAATTACTACAAAAATTAAATCATAGTTTATGTTGTTTAGATATAAATTATGTATGTGTATGTATGATTGTATTTTTGTATGTATGTTTATGTATTATTATTATTATTATTGAAACATTTATGAAGCGCTAATTAGAGGAATCTCAAAAGCGCTATGTAACAAAAACTGAACTTAACAACATAATTGAAATAACAAACGAGAAATCATAATACATCGCACAGAAATAAAATTAAAATTTGGTCATAAACAGAAAAGTAATCGATTCAATAAAACGAAAATACGAAATAATATTTAGAACATGTCGACTAAACAGAAAGAATCAACCAATAATGCATCACAATAAAAATAAATGAGTTTTCAGTTTCTTCTTGAAGTCATGCAGGTTTAGGTCCGGATTTCTGAGAGCAGCAGGCAGGTTGTTCCAAACAGTTGGTCCAGAAACAGCAATGTTACGAGAGCCTATACGGAGACTCGTTGTTGGGATCAACAGCAGGTTTGAAACATCGGACCTCAAGTGTGTTCCAGATGCTTTTGAAGATCTCTTTTTGAACCTGTCAGACAAATAAGATGGAGCTAGACCGTTGATAGACCTGTAGACAAGTGTTGAAATTTTGAACAACACTCTTTTTTCGACGGTTAGCCAATGAAGTTCCTTCAATATTGGAGACACATGATCGTATTTTAGAGCTCCAACAACAACTTTTGCGGCTCGATTTTGTATTGATTGAAGTACAGCCATGGATCAATCAGGTAAGTCATAAAACAAACTGTTGCAATAGTCGACGCGTGAGTGCACAAATGCATGAACCAATGTCTGCAACGTGGATGTATCTAGGGATCGTCGAATTTGATTGATTTTCCTGATTTGAAACATGCATTCGGCTGAGAGCTTCTTAATGTGTTGTTTCATTGACAAACCTGAATCAATCGTGAAGCCCAGATTAGCTGCTGTCTGACAAAATGCGATGACCTCATCATTAACAGTTATTGAATTTATATCTATTCTTGAAAGTTGCTGCCAATGGTAAAATTGTTACAATTGTTAAAATGTTCCAATTGGTAAAAAAACAGTCTTGTTTTGGTTTAGTTTTAAACCATTGTTTTGCATCCACTTATTGACCCCAGACAAACATTTAACCAGTTTGTCCAATTCTGATTTAAAAGAATCTGGCCTGCTCGTAACAATAATTTGCAAGTCGTCCGCAAAAGCATGACCTGTAAAACCAAATGATTCTATTATCTTTAGTATGTATGTATGTATGTATGTATGTATGTATGTATGTATGTATGTGCGAGCCCTTGGTTAAAAACAATAGCCGTAAAAACTATCATTTCGCCCCTGCTCAAACAGATAATATTGGTGTACAGGGTCTCGCACAGAAGGGCACTTAGCAATGTTTTCTAAAATACAAATGAATTAAACTTTTGCAACAACAACGATATATTTTGCTTTATATAAATTTTATCATTAGGATTACTGGATTTTTCAACTATTTTAGTACCTATGTTATCAAAAAATAATTGTGAATGTATGTATGTATGTATGTTTGTTTGTTTGTATGTATGTATGCGTGTATTTATATATGTATGTTTGTATGTTTGTATGTTTTTGTGTACGTATGTTTGTTCAAGCCCTCTAATCAATAAAAAAACAAAAGTAATAGAAATTTTAAAAAAGTTGGTAATTAAAACAAATTGTTTTTGAGAACAGTAGAGAATTTTTTTTCAGCCACTCATTCATTAGGTTGTCCTTTTTCATATTTTACTCATTCTTTTCATTTTTTTTCTGTCATTCAGATGTTTTATTTATTCAATGGTTTCGTTAATTCCTCCAAAGATACATTCATTCGTTCATTTTACATGGTTACTCCATGACGATGATGGTGACGATAATGAGGATGATGAAAACTTGATCAATAAATTTATTTGCAATTCTAGGGTATGTACCCAGCATGTCAATCACACACAAACACGCACGCGCGCGCACACACGCACACACGCAAACACACACACATTTATATATATATATATATATTTTTAGAAAGAGAGAGAGAGGGAGAGATTATTTTCTGGAATGCTGTTGAGTGTTCTTACTTATTATCACTGTCAATGTTCTGTGTTATTTTCCTTAATACTAGCACTAAGAAAAATAGTAGTAGTAGTAGTAGTAGTAGTAGTAGTAGTAGTAGTAGTAGCATCAGTAGTAGTAGTAGTAGTAATAATAGTACTAATACTAATAAATGCTGTTATTGTTATTATCTTATTGTCTGGTGATTTCAATAGAAAGAGGATTGAGTGTCTTTTCCGTACATTCAATGTTACCATGGTTTCAGGACACTTTATTTGGTGATTGTGACTGACGGTGATGATGATGATGCTGACGATGACGACGATGATGATGATGATTAAGATGAGGATGATGAAGATGAGAATGATGTGTTTGTTGCTGTTGTCATGTGTGTGTTTGTGTGTGTGTTTGTGTGTGTGTTTGTGTGTGTGTGCTTTTTTGTGTGTTTGTGTGTTCTGTCAATTTTATGTTAACAGGATTTAATTTTTTTGATGATATTGCTAAGATGTACGATAATATCTTTGTGGTAGTGTGTGTGTGCGCACGTGCGCGTGTGTTTCGGTATGTGTTTATATGTGTTTGTGTATGCTAGTCTTTCTGTGCTGCATTCAATGCATATGACGAATTCTTTTTGATGATAAAGTATTAGTTGCTTACAACTGCTGCTGTCCCGGTGTTGTATGTTTCTTTTACTCTATATATTTTTTAGTGTCGTGCCATTTTAATGCAATGTTGTATATGTTTGTTTGTTTGTGTGTATGTGTGTGTGTGTGTTTATGTATTTTTACTATATATATATTTTTATCGTCGTGTTGTTTTTATGTAATTTTGTTAGTCTTAAAGTACGCACATACACTACACACACACGCACACGCACTCGCACACCTATTCACACACCCACACACACACACTCATTAATCCTTTCTCTCCTTTCTCTTTCTCTCTCTCTCTCTCTCTCTCTCTCTCTCTCTCTCTCTCTCTCTCTCTCTCGTTTTGTTGTCAATGATTAAATGACATTTTAATGAACAGCTTTTTGTGTGATTGTTTATTATAATAACAATGATGATAATGATAATAGTGATGATGATGATGATAGTGATGATGATGATTATGATAAAGATAATATTGGTGATGATGATGATGATGATTATATTTTTAAGGATGATAATTGGGCTGCTTCTTAAAGCTTCTCCTGATTATGATGATGGATTATTATTATTATTATTATTATTAGTTTTATTACTATTTTTATTATCATCATAATTTTAAGTTTATGATTATTGCTATTATTGAAATTATCTTTGTTATATAAATAGTTTTTTGTGATTCCCAAACATCATCAGCTATTCATTGTTTCGTTAAAAGTAACAATCAATATGAATGTATGTGTGTGCGTGTGTATGTGTGTATGTAGGTATGTAGGTATGTATGTATGTATGTATTTATGTTAAATGTATGTATGTATGTACGTATGTATGCAAGTATGTATGTATTTATGTATGTAAGTATGTATGTATTTATGTATGTATGTATGTATATATATGTGTGCTTGTATGTACGTATGCTTTAGGGTGGTCACAAGAAATTTTTTTTCAAAATTTTATCGGGGGAACCCCTTAAATTGTGCCACTTGACTAAAAAATGACATTTGTAAAGTTTTAACTCAATTTGATAATGCTAACCCGTGCCTCATCGAAGTTGAAATTTCGAAAAATTGGAAAATTTTGAAAAAAACGCAGTTTTTGGTTTGTAAAATAAAAGCGGTTCCTTCTAGAAACATGATTTAAGTTTTATTTTGTTTATTTTTAATAACTTTTTTTTATATTCTTCGTTATTACTCCATAATTCTGGATTGGTATGCAAAATTTGATCATTAATATTAAATCTTTTTAAAAATTTACTTGATTGTGATGAAATAAAATGGTCCGCATTTTTGTCCAATATTTCTGATACTTCATTTATTTTTATTAGTGGTTTCATATCACAGTAGTCATCAAGTTCTTCATCCTCATTTGCTTGAGATATTAATTTTGTTACCATTCTCTTTTATACACAATTACTTAATGAATCATCAAATAATGAAAAAACAGCCTGCTCTGGACTGAGGTACTATATGTGGTTGATAAATTTTGAAACTGATATATCTGAGATAAATTTATTGACTTTATTGTAATTTACCAAAGATTTTAACAATTGTAAATCTTGGTTTGGAGCAAGTGCAGGTTTCGGAGCATCCAACCACACTTTCACATAAATATTTATAATAAATAGGCAAATATCATGGAATCCTTGCTTTTCAAAAATTGTCAGTTGAAACTGTTCTCTGAAAAGGTATATTTTCAACGAATATATTGCTTTTGCCATCCCCCTTGCGTGATGAAAAGCACCAGGAGCCGCAAACACGATGTTTTCTGACGGAAAGCGTTCTAAAAATATAAGACAAAGATTAATTAATTCTTTGTAATTGCTCCTTGGATGATGAACTGTTAATTATTATAGAAGATGACTTGAAATTTGACCCGGATTAATCAATTTGCTGGCTACACTTTTATCTTTAACTCCTGATTTAAATTTTTTTATCAATGTTGTTCCATTCAGTTTTAAATTTTTTGAAAATATCCGATTGAGGGTCTGTAGTCTTTTCCATCACAGCATCAAAAACGGATCTCAACACTACCTCCAAAATGTGGTGGCGACATGGAAGATACAAAAATTTTTTCTCCATCAATTGCTCTAATAAAACGCAAGCACCTTTAATGCGTCCAGTATTCACGGCAGTTGTGTAAAAGGAGATTGCTTGAATCTTGTCTAGTGCACCCCACTTTCCAAGTTCTGAATAAACAGATTTTGCAATTGTACTGCCAGCACCATTTTCTAATTGGGGAACTCCAATTAACTATTCTTCTTTTCCACAGCTAATTAAGACTGCAACTCTTTCAACAT